GAAAAAAAAAAATATAATCCTGGAACTGGGGGTGATAAAGGAGTCCAATAGTAACTGGTCTAGCCCCGTTGTATTGGTGCCTAAGCCAGAGTGGGGTTGATGATTTTACAATGATTTTTGTAAATTGAATAAGATCATTCAGTTTACCACTTACTCTATACCTTGCATAAATAAATCAATTGATTGTATGGGAAAAGTGCTGTATATTATGGGGTTGGACCTGACCAAAGTGTATTGTCAGATTCGCCTCTCTGAGTTGGTCAAGGAGAAAACACATTAGCAAAAAGACATACCTTACCCACCAACCCTTACGTTTTATCACTTACATATACATTATATAGAATAGGACCTGGCACAAAGCTTTGTGGTACACCACTAGTGACTTGTCTCTGAAAAAAAATTAATTTACAAGCACACTCTGGTATTTATCCTTTAGGCAACTGCATATCCAACTGCATATCCAATTAATCACGCAAGGGTTAAGTCCTAGCTTCTACAACTTTTTATTAGACCAGTATGTGTCAAATACCCTGCAGAAATCAAGATAGGCTGGTCCAAACCCCTAGTGATATTGTAAAAAAATTCAATCAGATTGGTCTGAAATTATTTACCCTCAGCAAAGCCATTCTGGTGTTGCAGGTGCTATTCAGGACAGTTGAGCTGCAGTGGTGAGACTAGTAACACTGAAGGGTTAGGTGTAAGCATAATCAAGATAAGTCAGGTCACACATGTGTAGATCAGAGTAGAAACAGTACTGAATTAACAGTGAGGAAGAGCAGGATCAGAACAAACTGAGTCATACACAAGTAGATCAGTGTTCAAACAGTACTGATTTAGTAGCAAGGAATAGCAGGGTCAAAAACAGCCATACACAAGTAGATCAGAGAAGATATCAGCTGGGTCAACTAGGAGCACAAATAGGTAGCTATGCTATCACAAGTACTGGTGGTGTGTGAAACAGGTGTTTTAAAGGTGAACAGTGATGAGCTGGCCAGTTAACATCGCTTCCCAGGGAAGGGCTGTCCCAGGTGGGTTTTTCTAAGTCCTAAAGGGACAGCAAAATCCTTGTACTGACATATACAGTAGGTACAATATTAGCTGTCCTCCAATCATAGGGAACTGCTTCTGTTAGAAGAGATTGATTTAAAAAATCAGTTAATGGTCCAACAACTATACCTTGAAGTTCTCCAAGACTCTGGGATGAATACCATCAAGGCCAATGTCTTTACTGAGCTTTAACTGTGCCAGTTCCTCTGCTACTTCTGTCTCCAGAAATCCTGAAAATGAACCAATATGATCCTCCAACTTGTTATTATTAGTACAATATATATCTTAGAAAACTGAAAAGAAGTAATTTTTTAATGATTTGCTACATCTAGGGTTTCCTCAACATAAGTGTTGTGCCCAGTTTTCATTTTAGTTTTCATTTTAGTGATCCCTTTGTATCTTTCCCTTCCATTGCTGATGGGATTTTGTCTCCTTTCTTAACAGATTTAGCCATTTCCTCCTCGGTCTGTGTTTTGGCAGCACTGATAATGTGTTTGGCCTCTTTTTATATATTTTTATACACTTCTACATCAGCTACACCCACTGTTTCCTTGAATCTCCTATATGCTGATTTCTTCTCCTTTACTATTCTACATACTTTCTTTAGTGAACCATATTTTTTTTTTTATTTGTTTACTCTTACTAATTTGCCTGACATATAATCTAGTTGCTTCCAGAATGGTGGATTTTAACAGTGACCACTGCTCACTGACTCCTATCGCTTTACTCCAACCTTTTAATTCCTTTTTTAGAAATTCCCCCACTTTAGTAAAATCTGTCCTTTAGAATTCTAAAACGTTTGTTTTTGTATATGATTTTTCAGTTTTTTTTTTAGTATCAAACCAAAGACATTGGAGAAGACTAGAACCCAAATTTACCCCTACTTCAACATCAGACAATCGATCCCCATTTGTCACTACTAGGTCTATGAACACCTTGGATTTGGATTTTTAGTATCTGTTTCAAAGAAACCCCATTCATTGCCTCCATTATATTCCTGCTTCCTATTGTAATAGCAATTTGAGAATTCCAGTTGATGTCAGGCATAACAATTTAAATTGTCATGGTGGAATTTAACATACAATATCCAACAAGTATTCTAAAATTATCATCCCAAAGTAAAAAATAAAAACAAAATAGAAAATAGGACTTTAAATATAACTTTCAGGAGACCAAACACAGTAAAGAATATACAAAAGAAAATATATAAGCATAAATGTTTTATTATCCAGAAATAAAAAATGAAGATGTATATGAATACATAAAAGAAAAAATATATAAAAGAAAAAAATCTCCAAAGCAAAACCTGTTCCAAAAAAATAAATAAATATAAAATTACACATACCTGTCTGACAGAAAAAAATGTCAGACCAACATTCAACATCCAGTATGTAGGAGACAAACATGATGAAGTCAATCATAATTAAAACCTCTCCCTTCATTGCCATTGGAGTTGTCTTGTCAATCAACAAGTTATCATAATCTTCAGTCTGTCCTGGGAGTCTGTATACTACACCAATTCTAAGGGAAAATCCCTATCTTGTTAGAAGGGAAACCAAGAGGGTTTTGAGTATTTCATTTTTTTTTTTTTTTTTAATTAATGATAAAATTATGTTATTTTTATCATTTATGGCAGCTCCACATTCCCTCTTCCCCACTTTGTCTTTCCTGTATAGTGTATATCCTGGTATAGTTATTTCCCAGTGAATCCTTGAACCATGTCTCTTTAATCACAACAAGTTCCAAATAGTCTCTAGACATAGTAAAAGCTGTCAGATCACAAAGCCTATTGTGAAAACTATGAGCATTATTGCACATGATGTGACAAACACAGCTATCTACTGCTTTATTTTTAGCACCAGAACATTTAACTGAAATAATTGCCCCATCAGCCCAGTCCTTAGCAACACAAACCTTCTCAGTTGTTTTAACTTTTTAACATTTGTTTTAACAGGTGAAAACTTTTTCACTGGGGCATGCATTACAAAACCAATTTGCAGTTTCAAATGTTTTTATGGGTAGGGTATATTATTGTAAATTTTGTGAAATTTAATTTTAATTGTACAAATAAATATAATTAAACGTTTGATTTAGGAGTGCTTCATCTCTTTTTTAGTGAAAATCTTCCCACAATGGCAAAATTCTAACTTTGTCCCCATTGAGTGATTCCTTATCACACCCTTTTTGGGTGACAACTGTTTGGGGGGGAGGGTATTAATCTCACTTTCTTCATGAGAACAAGAAGCAAAGAGCTAGACTATGGAAATAATTTATTAGCAGCTTACCTGGGAAGCCTTGCTTACTTTTTCTTTTTACCTTTGACAGAAGTTTTTTTTTTTTTTAAATTGAAGCAGCCAGGGTATGAAATGAACTACTGTGGCATAAATTACTTTTCACCTATTTTTTTTTAATGACTTGGCTCTGTTAGCCCTAGTGCATTTTAAGATGTGATCCAAGTCTCACAATAAAAACAAAACTCTGACAATCAGTGTCATACTGGTTGCAAAAGAAGAGAATATTGGTAAAATCTAATTGGATAGTGTATATGGGGCTTTATATTAGCTTTGGAATCTACTAGGAGACACTCATATATTACACCAATGTCTGTGGGGGATTCCTGTATGGGACACCACAATAAATAAAACAATATGTAAATACATAAAAAATGTAAGGAATACATCAAGCTAAAAAACAAAATCCCGGAGGTATGAGTCCGTAACTAATTAATCAATAACTGTACTTGCTGGCTGGGAAGGCTGCCTCTCCAAATGGGATGGGAACCTGAATGCTGCAAAAGAGAGAGGGAAGAGGGAGAAGAGAGGTGCCAAGCCACCGATAGTGCAGTAAAGTTTTATTAAATCAACAATCATAAAAAACAAAGGTGTGCACTCACAAGCATGTCGATAAGGAAGACATTGAGAGTAGAAGTATGCAGCTAAATGAGACCTGAGCTGCTAGGATCACCGGAACGCATTCAGTGTGAGTCCAGATGAGCTGCCGGGAAGCCACTGTGGGAAGCCCAGAGGAACTGTCAGTAGAGCTGTCAGGAGTAGGAAGGCTGGGAGCCAATCAGAACGCGTTTTGGGGATAAAGCCATACCTCCTTCATTAGCCTGAATAGTGCTCTACCCTCTGGGAGTATATACTCACATGTACGCCCACACAAGTCGCTGCTAAAATATAACTTGCCCAACAAATGGAAGGATGAGAGGGGAATTCACCACAGTAAAATAGAGAGAAGTACACGGCATGCAGAAGGAGTATATTACAATTATATGAAATGTATAATCAATGCTTAAAATAGAATGGCAAAAAAATAAATGTAAATATTGAGAAATGGTATTGTTCCGTTAACCACTTGCCCTCTAGAGGACTAACCCCCCTTCCTGACCAAGCCATTTTTTGCGATACAGCGCTGCGTTACTTTAACCACTAGCCTACAGGGCACTTATACCCCCTTCCTGCCTAGGCCAATTTCCAGCTTTCAGCGCTGTCACACTTTGAATGACAATTGCGCGGTCATGCAACACTGTACCCATATGAAATTTTTATAATTTTTTTTGAGACAGATAGAGCTTTCCTTTGGTGGTATTTAATCACCTCTGGGATTTTTATTTTTTTTCTTAAACAAACCAAAAACCACTGAAAATTTTGGAAAAAAAAAAACCTTTTTTTTTTAGTTTTTGTTATACAATTTTGTAAATAAGTGATTTTTCTCCTTCACTGATGTGCGCTAATGAGGCTGCAGTGATGGGCACTGAGACTGCACTGGTGGACATTGATAGGTGGCACTGATGGGCACTGATAAGGAGGCACTGGTAGGTTGCACTGATGGGCATTGACAGGCGGCACAGGCTGGCACTGATATGTGGCACTGACTGGCACTGATAGGCGGCACTGACTGCAGCACTGATAGGTGGCACTGATTGACATTGATAGGTGGCACTGACTGGCACTGATGGGTGACATTGAAAGGCAGCTCAGATGGGCACTGATATGTGGCAATGATGTGCACTGGTATGCACTGATATGTGGCATTGATGGGCACTGGCACGTGGCACTGATGGGCACTGGCATGTGGCACTGATGGGCACTGACAGGTGGCACTTCTGGGGCCACACTGATCATCAGGGCACACTGATCATCAGTGCCCTGATGGTCAGTGTACATGTCCCCTCCGTGGAAAGCCGATTACCAGCTCTCCTCACGCTGACAGCTCGAGAGGAGAGAAATGCCGATAACCGGCATTTCCGTGTTTACATGTGATCAGCTGTGATTGGACACAGCTGATCACATGACCGAGCCGACATCTTCGGCTCTTTCCGTGATCCGCTGTGTCCGAGGGACACAGCGCACCGGAGATCGCCGTGCTGCACGCTCCCTGAGCCGTACATGCACAGTGAGAATGGTAGGACGTCATATGACATCCTATCAGAACGAGAGAACCACCTTGCGCCTGTCATTGTACTATAGGGCGGGCGGAAGGTGGTTAACTGACAACTGAGCGGTCATGCAACACTGCACCCAAATTAAATTTACATACTTTTTTTCCCCACAAATAGATCTTTATTTCAGTGGTGTTTGATCGCCTCTGCATTTTTAATTTTTTGTGCTATAAATAAAAAAGACCAACAATTTTGAAAAAAAAACTATATTTGTGACTTTTTGCTATTAAACATGTCCAGTAAAAAAATTTAAAAAAATCAAATTTAGGACAAAATGTATTCTGCTACATATCATGTCTGGCTGAAAAAAAAAATCACAATACATGCAAATTAATTGGTTTACATGAAATTTATAGTGTTTACAAATGGCGGTATATACTGGAATTTTTATTTATTTATTTATTTTTACAAGTAATGGCAGCAATAAGTGACTTATAGCGGGACTGAGGTGGGCATTCTGACACTGGGAGTAACTGACTTGGTGTCATGAACATCCCCAGTGACACCAATACAGTGATTAGTGCTAACAAAAAGCACTGACACTGTACTAAATGGCACAGGGCAGGAAGGGGTTAACATCTGGGGTGATCAAAGGGTTAACCGTATGCTGTTTTACTGTGTGTGTGCTTTACACTGTAAGCACACTGCTTTGTATAGCTCTGCTATGTAAAGCCATACAAAGCAGTGTGCAGGAGCTTAAAGAGAAGAGATCTATGTTGTTTATACACGTGACTCCCCCGTCAGTGATACCAGCCGGGACCCGGTGATTGACAGCCGAGGCCGCGAATGGCAGCGCATGTAGGGCGCTCGAGCCCCATACCTGTAACTACAAAATCACATATATATAAGTAATTTCGCACAGTTGTGCTGCCCTGTAGCAGTATTTCAGGAGCAGTTAATAGTATAATATGCATATACAGTATATATGTGTATATTTTAATAAACAGAAGTATATAAAAGATAAAAAAAATTATATAAAAAAAAGTAGTACAAGTTGCAAAAAGGAAAAAAAAGAAAACAATATACTGTAGATACGGGATCCATAACACTCGGTATCGCAATGAAAATAAAAGGGATATGCTGACAGTTCCACTAACAGTTACCTTGGGCTTCCTGCAGCAGCTTCTCAGCGACTCATCTGGACTCACACTCAGACACTGACTGCGCTCCAGTGAGCCCAGTGGCTCAGTTTCTCATGCGGATTTTCCTGTCGGCTATAGACTTTCACTTACATGGTCTTACTTTTTGAGTCGCTTGTGAGTGCACACTTTGTTTTTATATGATTATTGATATATTAAAACTTTACTGCATTACTGGCGACTTGAGTCTCACATGACAATGGAAATCACATTGTTTTCATCGGTGCTCATTCACATCAATGCAACTCAACACCACTTGATTTTGGAAAAGATTCCTGTACTACTTTGGTGCAATTACAGCGTGTCTGCATAGACTATGCAAACCACATCCAAGTTGCATTGAAGCTGCATCCAAGTTGCACTAAATATTTGCACTGAAAATCGGATCAAAATAAGAGCACAGCAATGTGAACCTAGCCTAACAGGGAAGAGGGGCCATTTATTTCTAGCAGGGGCTCACTGACCATTTGGAAACTCGGGCACTGCCCGAGGGCCCAGGGGTCAGTAGGGGGCCCCATGAGATGCCCCTGGTACCTTTTTCATAGGCTTTTTTGAGTTTGGGCAAGGACACAGGGGTCCCATGATCCCCTATTGCCCAGGGACCCCATGAGTTGTCAGTCCACCCCTGATTTCTAGTAAAAACTTTTATTATCAAGTGTTTATCTTCAGCGTTATCAGAACTTCCAATAGACCCATCTACCAATTCCTCCATATTCTCCATTTTCCTCTTGAAGCCCCCACCGAGTATTACTGGACACATGAGCTAATATAGTTTGGGGCCATTTGCTTTCAGTCTTCTAACAGTGGCAAAAGTAACCCCATTTATAGTAAGGAAACTGTAAATAAAGGAAAAAAAGCATAAAATATGCAGGTGAATCAGCAAAAGAAATTGATTTCATGCATCTGTTGGCTGGCAATTGAGCTAAGATAGGTCAGATCTCTAACTTGGTGGATTGATTTGCTCAGCTCTTGTCATCATTATCATTCATAAAAGTCACAGACAGTCATGCTATTCCTTTACTGCTGGTGTTCACTACTAATTGTCAGTTGTCACTCAGTGCCACAATGATTTCTTCACATTTACAGACAGTCACTGCATTTACTAATTAGCAGTACAAGCTAGTTGTCCATAATTCTCACTTCTCACTACAGATCAAAGTATCATCATCATTTATCTTAGTCTTGGACAGTAGTTGTTAATTTTTCCCACTTCTTTCCACGGAGTGACATTGGAATTCTGCCATTAGGCAGGGTCCATTTATGATTCTTAGTAATTAAATGTCAGAGAAAGGGATGAAGACTGGTAGTTACAAAGATAGAATAAAAGGATTACAGATTAGTTACCTGTGTGTGGGTACAGCAGCAATGCATACTAAAGAATCCAAAATTGTTCTGAAAAATGTCCATCTTCAAGGCTTTTTGAATAGCTGTTGTTTTCTCAAGTTGTAGCTCAGCTTTACATAGAAAAATTACCAAAAAAATTGAGAGTTTGAATTTAGCACTCAGAGCTAAATAAAATGAATGGTGGGTTTTATTAATAGCAAGCATTCTTACAATAGTCCATCCACTTCACATTAAAAATACATTGTACATTATCATCTTACATAACAACTATTAGATTATCCCATACTCATTTTGTCTACTATAGCATGCTACAGTGATTTAAAGGCCAAAGTTCACATTTTCCAGAAAATATCCTATGCAGCCAAATGGCCCCAGTAAGTATTAAAAAACTGCAGCTTTGTAAAATGATCATTAAATAATCTTATTGTCATACCTGTAGGACATTTAGTTCCCCCCAGAAGCCTGGCAAAAAAACTTTGAGAGCATCCAATGGTTTTCACTCCCTAGCAACAAGCCAGGGCTTGGAGGTTTCTCACTGGGCTGAGCTCTGAATAATGTTTTGAAAGAGTCAAGAATGTTGACCAACCTAACAGACAGGATACACAAGAATCTAATATATGGTGAGTGGGTTATTTGTAAGTGCAGAGTTAAACATATCATTCATAGTAGAAATAACCCTATCCCAGAAACAAAGCAATTTTGGTAATCATCAAAACAAATGTATCAGGGATCTCTGACCAACTCCACATATTGTAAAACATGCTTTTTTTATTTTTGTGTGCCTTTTTTTGTGTAAAAAATCTTCAGGTCAGTATACTCTATTCAAAGTAAAAAGTGGGGTCAGCATATGAGAAGCAGAATGAGACACTTGTGATAGCCACTACCATTAATTGCATGCAAAATCCAACAGGCTGGTTGTACCCAAGTTTGATTGATCGGAGTACATTCAGCCTGCCCATCCAAGGGTCGAATCACGGCCAGTCTCTGCTGAACCAGCCTGCTTTGTGTAAAAAATAATTTGTTCTCAACCTTCTGTAAACTAAAGGACTTTATTTGATGACTAACCTAAAGTCTTTGTTTTTTGGTATTAGAAGGGGTCAGAAATATAGGCAGAAATTGCTATGGAAACCCCTTGTTCAAGTGCTCTTTCTGGATCTCTAGTATTACTTTAATCAAACCAATTTGTTAAATAAACAATTCCATCATACAAAATGCTTTTAATGTATCCCACACAACTGCTTGTGAGGCAGTATGTGCATTAATGGAATTAATGCACATTAATTAATTATATTGGTATCATGCTCCAGTAAATGCGTGTGTAGGTATTAATGACAACCAAAAATGATTTAGGGCCATGATCCTATGGACCCCTTTGAGCTTATATTGAGGGTAGTAAGAATCAGAGAAGAACGGTCAAAAAATTAATTTGGATTGCTTTTTAACAGAGACCACATATGGTAAATATCTGGGCTGTCTAGTACTAAATTAAATGCAAAACAGCATTCTGTGCATCGTGGAATAACATGAGTATTTGCAGTAGAGTTCACCAGTGTTCATCAAGTCGTACAGTCCCGATTCATTACATCAATTTATGTAACCAAGTATGAAAGAAGGCTGTCAGATATAAATTTGTCTAGAGCTAGAATTCCTGGGGAAAAGCACCTCTCCAAATCCACTCTACTCAAAAAAGCATTGAATCTGCTTTTTTTTCTCCTTGGGGAAAAGCACCTTTTCCCACCCCCACTCCTAAAAAAAAAACCCTTTAAAATGCTGTTTTTCCTCCCGGGTAAATGCAAACCCCTCCTACCTCCCTCCTAATCAAACTCGCCTTTTTACTTCCCTTTTCCCTTTAGAAACCCAAATGGTTTTTCTTATATTTTTTGTGTATGTTTTAGCAGGGCCTACCTTTTAGGGTTTCACCCGTTTACGACTGTAGCCTGGGTTTCCCAGGGGACTCCCCAAATTTATGTGAGCCTTTCAGCTCTTTAATTTTGGGGGGGAGTTGAATGTCATTTTAGCATCTCCCAAAAATTCAGATCCCGC